AACGTCATAGGGGTTTTCTGGCATAGAGCCTCCGATGCTCAAGTCAGAATACGAACGTAGACGATGAACAATAATGAAAGCTTTGTATGTAAGTATGTAGAGAATGTAATGTATGAATGGGCATACTCACTCCCTTATATAGGGAGGTGTTACCTTATTTCCCAAGACTGTCCAGATGTGTTGCCCAGACTACCCGAACTGCATGTTCGTATTGCCCGAACTACTCGAATTGCTCTATTCTGTTAGGCCACGTGACCCTATCCACGTGTGGTTCTTATCTTATTTATATTCCTTCTTATCCATTAGTCTTCTTTATTAGACGGTATAATCGTGCGACTGACCCAAATTACCTCGAGGTAGAGTGCTGAAAATGCTGAGCTCATATGCTCTGTCATCTGGTTACTCCTACAACCAGTCATGCCTTCAGGTCGAGTTTCAACCAAGTCATCTAAGTGCCTTAGCTCGACTTGTATGTGCTCCTTGGATCCAGGACGTCCTCTTCGACCGTAGCGCCTTCTGTTTCTGCTCGACCTGCCAATTCATGTTCAGACAGGTAGTTTCTCGGATTAAGTTGACCCGGTACGGTATCTCATATTAAGTTTAAAAAAATTAATGCTAAAAATGTGTAAAATATAAGTAAATATTTATTTTGAGAATGTTGTATGTACTATATTAAAACGATAAAACAATAGGTCATTTGTCGTGCTATCATGTAAATTATTAGATTACAAAGAATCAAAATATTTATAATAAGTATTATATTAAATTATGAAAAATCAATGAGTCACCTGTTGAAAAAGTTTAAAAATAAGAATCACTATATTTATAATATATATTGTTACAAAAATAAGAATCACTATGCTTATAATGACAAACTATTAACTACGTATCATCCATCCAACTATCCAATATACTTTTAAAATTATCATTGTGCACGTGAGATACTTATATTAGAAACAAAACCATTTCAATGAGTACCACCCAAAAGGTTAATATCGTAATATCATCCTAAACCAGCGACAGAGAACTATTCCTCCACCTATATAAACGTTCCCATATCTCCGCATTATTTTCACGTTGATATCTCTGGAGATAAAAACAAAACCATTCAATAGAAAACGAATCACATAGCGTTACGCGTTCTAGGGTTTCAGCCTCTTCTTCCGCAGCCGCAACAGCATAATTCCTTTTCTGTAAGCATTTTCCTTTTATGGCTTCTGTAATCGCGTTTTGACCCGCGATTGTTATGGTGTTTTTGATTATCTTTTCTTTGTTTCGTTTTGCAGGAATTATCGTAGATCGTCAATTTTCGTTTTTCAAGGGGAAAATATTTAATCTTTATTGATGTAAGTGTGTATTCTTCATGTTTTCTTGTGGATTTATGTTGAATAATCAATTTTTTATTGTATGTCGAAATTGGTGCTGCTGGAAGTTGATGTTTAAAGATTTTATGTTTTCCATCGTTTGTTGTTTTTCTTAGGCGTGTGTATATGCAGAATTTGTGGCTTTTGTTTTACGAAATCCATGTGTTGTGCTTGTGCCATCTCATAGACATTACTAATTTTTGGTGTCCGTAGATCTGATCATCTCTTGTGTTCAGATCTGGATTTCTGGAAATCGGATGAGATTTTTTTTATATCAAGTGGAATAAAACCACCGGCTTGTTTGTTTGTTACTTTTTTTTTCTGCAATCGAGTCTTGTGGTATGCCTGTCAGTTTTTATGTCAATTTTGCTGTGATTATTGTTTTTCTGCTATGATCTTAGTTCACTACGTGGGGAGGATTTTGTATTTTGGTTTTTGTGCCATGTCTTTTGTTAAATATCTTGCGCTTTTGCATGAATGTTATAAACAAAATTGGTGGCCAGAAATTTTATGATTCTGTACAACATAAATGATTTGCTTCCATGGATAATTGGGTGATGATTATTTTCTGTTTTGTAATATAATGTTGGTAGATCATAACCACATGCTTGTAGTTTCTTAACAACCTTCACTCCAATCTGCTTTTTCAAATAATTTTCAAGTGAATTCTCAGGTTTTGTTATCTTTGTATAATTTCATGTCTCGTAAGAAGTATATTTTGTTGTGTGCACAAATATTTGTTCTGTCTTTTTTGTGGTTGTTTGCATAAATCATTCATTATGGTACAAACCATCCTATGTGTAGTCAATAACACCTTCTACTGTAATTGGCCATGTTGCAGAAAACAAATTGATGATCTAATGGAGTCTAAAGGTGGGAAAAAGAAGTCCAGTAGTAGTAAATCCATATTCTACGAAGCTCCCCTTGGATACAGCATTGAGGACATTCGACCAAACGGAGGCATCAAGAAATTCAGATCTGCTGCATACTCCAACGTAAGTCTCCGCAACCCATTAACAAGTATATTCAGTGATTCTGCACAAGCTTATCATCAAAATAAATTGAATAATAAAAAATATTTGTTTGTTCTTTTGCAGTGCGCTCGCAAGCCGTCCTGATATTCCTTAGCTAGCCCCGAATCACGTCGTTTGGCGTGGTGAAAAAAATTTACTGCTTTCTAGATTTTTTGTTTTTAGATTTGCCTGCACTCCTTTTCATAATTCTCCAACGGCCACCTCGTCTTCTGTTCGCTGCTGTTTTCACCACACTTTTCTCGAAATGGCTCTGTCCGCATCTGCAATCGGTTTTGAAGGTTTCGAAAAGAGGCTCGAAATCTCTTTCTTCGAGCCGAGCATCTTTGCTGATCCTGAAGGGAATGGATTGCGTTCCCTTTCCAAATCACAATTGGATGAAATCCTGGGCCCCGCCGAATGTACCATAGTTTCTTCACTATCGAACAAACACTTGGACTCGTACGTCCTCTCTGAATCGAGCCTCTTTGTCTATCCGTACAAGATTATCATCAAAACCTGCGGCACAACAAAATTGCTTCTCTCCATCCCGCCCATTCTGAAATTGGCCGATTCACTCTCTCTTTCGGTTCAAACCGTGAAATACACACGCGGAAGCTTCATCTTCCCTGGAGCACAGTCTTACCCTCATCGTAACTTTTCCGAAGAAGTTTCTCTCCTCGATATGTATTTCGGTAATCTAGGCACAAGCAAGGCCTACGTCATGGGAAATTCTGATGAACAGCAAAAGTGGCACGTCTACTCAGCATCTGCTGAGTCGGTGAGAGTATCTGACCCTGTTTATACGCTTGAGATGTGTATGTCCGGTTTAGACAGGGACAAAGCCTCTGTTTTCTACAAACAAGAATCTAGCTCGGCTATTCTGATGACTAAAAGCTCCGGAATACGAAACATCCTGCCGGAATCTGAAATCTGCGACTTTGAATTTGAGCCTTGCGGTTATTCCATGAACTCCATCGAGGGAGGGGCAATTTCGACAATTCACGTCACTCCGGAGGACGGCTTCAGCTACGCGAGCTTTGAGGCGGCCGGTTATAATCTGAAGTGTGTTGGTCTTGGCCAGCTGGTCGAGAAGGTCTTGGCTTGCTTTGAGCCGAGCGAGTTTTCTGTGTCTGTGCATGCCGAGTATGGCGGCAAGTTGGGTGATGAAGTTTGTGAGCTGTTGGATGTAAATGGCTATGTTTCTTATGAGATGAGTCTCGAGGAGCTGGGATTTGGTGGGTCGATTGTCTACCGTAAGTTTGTGAGGAGTAAGGCGTTTTGTGGGTCGCCCAGGTCTATTCTGAAGTGTTATGGGGATGATGATACTGAAGAAGAAGAAGAAAAGGAGTAGCATTTATCTACTTTTTTTTACATTTATGCTTGAAATAAAATTTGTGGCTGTGCTATTTGGCCATAAACTAAATCTGTTTGGTTTTGAGTGTGTTTTGGATTGATTTTGTTATTTTCTGTTCCTGGATTATGTTTGCTTCGTTATAGCCCTTTTTGGGTGTTTTGACGTTGCTTAATAAATGTTGAACTATTTTGACATGATATAATAATATATATATAGTATTTGTTTTGGATATGAAATGCGTATATTTTGTTTAGATACATTACGTACTTTCACAAATGAAGTTCATTTAGTTGTCTGTCATGATTATTTGTTTGTTTCATGTACATATTCAAAGCTCCTTTCTCCCCCTCAGCCCAAAGTCCACAGGCATTATTATCATTCACAAGCTTTCTTGTCTTGTGACAAGTCGGATTCTTATGTATCATGTGTGCGAAAAAGAAATAGGAATCTCGCGACCACAAATCTCCAGGCGTATATTAGATAATCTTGAATATGACATACATAATAATAACTCGAAAATCCCACTAGTCAAGTAAATTGCATGCATCAGGTGAAATTTATGTAGATTCGATTTAAATCTGGAAATGTGAGGATTCACTCTTGAAAAGTGACCTCTTTATTCCAACTACTATTCCATCATTTGTTTGTGCACATAGATAAATCAAATATTATAAATATATGTATGCATATAATATTTAAATTATAAGTTAGATAATGGTATTACATTCTAAAGATTTGATCATTTGTAAAATAAACAACGTAGAAGTATTTAACTACATATAAATCACTATTCTGATTGTATAAAATTTTGATTGTAATTCGACTCGAACTTGACTCGTTAATATTGTTAAACGGGACAAGCTCGAGCTCGAGCACAATTTCTAGTTCGTTTACTTACCAAATCGAGCCAGACTCGGATCGTTAAGTGCTCGAGCTCGGGTTGACTTGTTTAGAGCGCTAAGTTCAACTCTATCAAAATTCAATTGAAGACTTACTTCCTTATTTAGATGTACTTGAATACTTCATTTATTTTTTAATTAAATTATGTATTTTATCATTAAAATATACCAAACATAATTTTTTAGTCGTGCATTTCTTACAAAATAATATCATTATTTTATAACAAGTATAGATTAACCACATTAACTACGATTAACAAGAACATAAAAAACTGCAGAGACTAGCACATGACAAGGTAGTTGGATAGAAAAAGAAAAATGTAGTAGAAAATCACACAACAAAAAACAAACAATAATAAAACACAAAACGTGTTTTCACCAAAAATAATTTGTGATTTTCATTGAAAACAAACTTATGAATTTTGAATACAAAACAAATCAAATAAGAACTATATATAAGCTTCAAATCCCTTAACTTCCCCTGAACCATGAAGACAACAAAAACCTCTGTGCATGCAAACTCATGTATTCACAAACCTGCAGTTTTTCCTAACTTCTCCATTAACATAAGTATCAGGATTTGTAATGTTCCCCAATCTCACCATTGACTCAGAAAATTGCTCGAAAAAAGCGATTGGATTCTCGGCATATTTCACGACCAGCCTTTTCGTTTCGACTGCTAAAACGCTCGAATAAAGTTCCTGGTCCGAATTTATAAGTCCCTCCCCTCTTAATAGTATTTGGTAATACGAATTGTCGAAAAAATTCGGCGAAAAGTAGTCCATAGCCGACTCTTGATTTTCCGAACCTTTAAGAGGCGGACAAACAGATTTCAAGTTTTTGAGGTATTCATTTGAGACCGGATTTAGTCCTGAAGTTGTCTCAAAATCTCCGTATATTCTGTTCCTGAAGTTCATGCAACGGGCCATGCCTATCGTGTGGGCCCCTGTTAGAGACCAATTTTTAGACAAATGTTTTAGTATACAAAAAAGCACTAAAATTTTCTTATCTTTTATTATTAGCTGATTTTTTGAGCATTTGTTGTTCTTACCCGAAAGCGCCACCATATCAGTGACCGAGAGGCCTTGATAAATAAACTTTGATATAATTGACAAAAGCCCTTCGTCTGCTTTGGGAAGATTAGTATCGACGAGCGCATAGCCACCAGTTTTCGAGTCTTTTCTCCCGAGAAAAACAGGCCAATATGGCCCACCAACCTACAATTTATTTTTGCACAAGAAAAGAAAACTGTTGGAAAAAAGAAGCTGTTTTTTTTATTACATTTTTTTTTTATGTCCAATTTTTGTGGGTAAAGTACCAAAATAACTGCATCTCTAGCGGCAACAGTTAGAATATCGGCACAAGAGACGATTCCAGGGCACTCGGACTCGAGCTTGTTCTTTATCCTGTCTATGATTTCGAATCCTTTGAGGGCATTTTTATTGTTTGCTGCTTTTTTCTCTCCTTTTAATGTGATTGTGTCGTCCAGCAATACTGACCCATCACAACCCTGCATCCATTGCATTATTATTACTCTGAAAAAAATTCAAGAATGTCCTAAAAAGTAAAAAACCTCATTTCTTATTCAAATTTTGTTTGCATTATGCAAAACAAGCATTATGAAGAAGGAGAAGACCTGAACAAAGCAATCGTGGAAATGTAAGCGCAAAATCAAAGCCGCATTGCGTGGATTAGACAAAACTGCACATTCCATTTCTTTTCGAACTATTTCAAGAACCGTCGGGCACGTTTTTTTGTAGTAATCTAAAGTTAATGGCGGGTAACTTGCATGAGACCTTGAAAACACCATGCACAGGGCTAATAATAATAGCAAGAATTGGAAAGTAAGGCCTTTTGCACAATCAGGACATGCCATTTCTTGCTGT